GGGTACAACAAGGACTGGTCGGCTCGGAGTCAGTATAATGTGTCTGAGTGGGGTATTCATGCTTCACTGCGGCATGATATCTCAGTGGGCTAGCACTATAAAACCAGCTTAAGTCTGGGCTAGTACAAGCAGCCGCACATACACACGCATGCAAGTCGTCATATGAGCGAAATATTCTCAAGCACGACGTTAAACCCAATTTCACCTCACCCACCTCATGACACAAAATCAAGTTGTCTGAAAACAAAGGCAACCAGTCATCTGACAGTACTACAGTTAAAAGTAGGAAGATGTGTTGTGTATGTTTAATGATAGAGCCAGATTGAAAGGAGAGGACATGAACAAACAGAGGTGACACCCCGTTAGAAATGTGGGCTTTATTAAGGGTGGGCGTGGCACGAGAGCTGGGCGAAGGTCAACAAACCTCCACAAAAACGTGCAGATATGTGTGGGGGTGAGAAACCATGGTGTTCAAGCTTCACCCATCTAGGTTTATCTGACAGGCGTACTGATTTAAATGCTAATGGCTCTTCAAATACAGGATGACTTTACAATAGGTTGACATTTTAGTCAAGCTGTTTTGTCATTTCTAATTTACATTAATTTGCATGATGGACGAGGCTTGAACAGACAGATCTGTATTTGCATATGTAAACCTTGGACAGTGTGAACCGTCACTGCACTACAACTTGTTCTTCTTAAAGACATAAATATACTGCAGTCCTTGGTTTCATTTAAGAACCTCTTAATTTTTCAATTTCAAGAGAAACAAGAGAAAACTTTGGTTATCATAAGAATCAATCAGTAAATTGGTACACACAAGCTACTATATTTCGGTCCATACAATAAAAATTCATTAGATTTCTTACACTACTTTCTATTTGTTTCAATTTCTTTTCAAATAGAATTATCATAATGACTTATAATAGTAAATTGCTTCAATGACACTGTAAATATGATTAAATAACAACAGATTTAAAAGGAGAGGACAATTACACACCCTCTGCATCAGATTCCCAGGTTCCAAACAAATAAAACACAGTTTTAACATAGTTGATATGACACTCTTTGCTATTTCAGCCCATTCAAAAACAAGGTAGGTAAGTATTTGATTCCTATTTCCCGGGCAAAATGGTTGTCTTCAGTACATCATTAAAACATGTTTTCAAATGAGTTTGGATTTTATACGATACATAGCAATATTACAGCAATATCCTGACTGGGGACACCCCATAAACACATGTTGTCATTTCTTGGCCTGTACAATAAACATACAGTGTAATTGTTTAAAAAAATTATAAAGCAAGTGTTCATAAAGCGAGTGGAAGATGTTTCCAAAATGGTTTTAATTTGTATCCAAGTTTCTACCAATCTGCTAATAATGACACATTAGTTATTTCAACACCCTAGTTATGAGGAAGAGATATTCCAGATACCTGCTTCTGTTGCCAAGTATAATATAGTTCAATCATAAAGCGAAGTATACAAAGGCACATGTTTATATTTTAACCAGCTCGTCCTATTTGCAACCACAGTGAACACAGATTTCCTTGTATCATCAATATAAACAGGCTGGAGTCTACTGGCCCGACCATGACTCTTAACATCAGCACACAGATTTTAGTGTTATCATGTGGACTATTATCAGCTGAGCTACAAGCCAGACCAGAATATTACCATGTCTTGGACTTGGGGCTGCAGACTGTTCACTATTTAGCAGTATGAATACGAGAAGTATCATACCAGGTTATTGCATGTTATTTAAATTGCTACAGCAGAAAAACAATACAAAGGTACATATATATTATGTACTGCTTCTTTAGGTGTCAGATCATGCATCAAAACAGCAGACAGCAGAGAAACCTCTAATGCAGACCAATATATATAATGACAGGTAGGTTTGTGAGACAAATGGTCATTACCCATGTCAGTGTAATCGCGGGTGTAATCCAGTCAGGTGAAGGTCAATAAAGCATTGAATCATGCTTTCTAGAATAGTATAGTATAGTTGTCCAGAAATAAAACTTGGGACCAACCACTAAAAAGTAAGATAGCGCAATCAGCATATTTTATTAAATGTACTTATATTACCGGTAGTTTTAACATAATACTGAAACATACCAACATCATGCTTATTGGTACTTGGGTAAACTATTGGTTTATGTGTTCACCTGGTCATGCCAAAGGCCTGGGTTCTACTCCCTACATGGGTACATTCTGTGAAGCCCATTTCTGGTCTCCTTGCTCTGATATTGCTAGAAATTGCCAAATTACTGTTTTACATGAAGTGAAATATGATACAGAGCAGAGCAACAAGAAGACTGGACTAGTCAAACCAGAGGGTGACAGCATGAGCAAGTTAAAAGGTACGATAATGTATAACCAGTCATGAAGTGCACCCACATCTCATTCAGTGATAAGTCACAAATAATTTACATACATGTTCATTTTTTATCACCTGGAATAATCTTTCTCCAAATTGCAACAGATGAATGGCAGTGATTTTGCAGTATCTTATGCTACATGGACATTACCATAAACTGCCATCATGTTTCTTTGGATATACAGTAAACAAGACTGCCTGTGGGACAGACCCTGCTAATGGCTCAGACCAACAATAGACGTATCAACCGTGGCCCACATCTCGTCACCGCCTCCGTGGTGTAGTGGTTAGAGCGTCCGCCCGATCTCCGACCGCGTCATACTAAAAGACATTAAAATATGGTACTTGTTGGTCCCTGCCTGGCGCTCGGCATTAGTGGGTACAACAAGGACTGGCCGGCTCGGAGTCAGTATAATGTGTCTGAGTGGGGTATTCATGCTTCACTGCGGCATGGTATCTCAGTGGGCTAGCACCCAATTTCACCTCACCTCACCACATCTCGGCATAAACACCAAAGGTGGTCAGTTAATATCAGTGGGTCTGTCATCAAAGTGTGAATGTCTGTCATGATGAAATGACCAAAAATGATTCATCTGTAGTATATAAAACTCTGACTGTCACACCGATTTGGTCAGCTTCAACGACTGCCATAGGAACCTGATGAATGCCTGGGGTTGATTATCAGACGGAAGAGTGCCCACAGGGTCAGTCTGTCTTAGTATTTTATTTATTCTGTAGGGCCTGGGAGACAGGCTATCACATTCCTGAACCATATTACTTCCGCTGAAGGGGTCGTTGTCGGCACGGGTACTACAGATATGTACCCCAGGTACGTTTCTGTATACAGAAACGTACCTTGGCCATAATGAGAATACAGAAACGCACCCGTTATGTACTTGCGTTATGTAAGTAATGAGAATACACAGTAACGGTGCACATGAATACCACTCGGAATCAGTTGAACGGGAACAACTACATACGGTTTCGCTCTTGGATTGCGGAATATGGACTCATCCGCCTTTTAGGGTACCGGGTACGTTTCTGTATTTTGACTTTGTGTAGGGTACATATCTGTATACAGAAAGTTACCTGGGGTACGTATCTGTAGTACCTGTGCCGACAACGACCCCTTCAGCATTACTTCCCCTCTGCCCTGCCCTTACTTTAATCACAGACAATACCAGCAAATAGTCTCTGCTGTAAAGAATTGTCCTTGATGAAGCAAAGTCTAGATTTTTTTTCACAGGTTCTGAATCTCAAAACTCATTGTCAATTTAAATGTAGAAGTTTGTTTCCGTCAAAATTATATTTTTTCAGAGTATATCAAGCTAAGCATGAGAATGCTGTGTTGACTCCAGGTTAGAAAAGATCTCTCTCTTATAATAAGTAGCATCAAAACATGTCAGAATTAAGCTCTGGGACACGCTTGAATATACATCATTGTACCCCAACACTATCAATCTGTAGACTGTCTGGTCCACACCAGGTAATTTACAGGACGCCAGCACACTCCTGGAGTATCACATCCAGTATCAAACATCAAACAGAACTATGCATTAACATAGCTCATTGGAACAGTGACGTGATAGAAGTCAAGAATTTCTTGCCTTTTCTCTGAGGTCACAAAAGATAATTATATGATTTTCCTCCCAAAATTTTTATATGGATGCCAGTACAAAGGCACGTTATTTATTTTTAAACAAACTCTTAATGTTACCGGTGTGTACATTCATGTGATGTAGCAAAGCATGACTAAAGACAGCCAGGGTTGTAGGACTAAGTTTAGTGTTTATCAAGACGGAATGGAACACATTAGACATCTCTTTTGTTTTCAGCAGTATAGGTACAAGCAAATAATAAAGTTACGTGAGAAGGGATTACTGATATTGGTGTGATGAGATGAAAATGTTAAAATCACTTCATGGCATCATGTTAAGAAAGTTAGATTTACGGACCTCAAATACTCCAGCATTAGTCTGAACATGCTCAATGACTTTAAACATGTTAAACATTCAAAGGTAAGCTTCTGCTGTAAATATATTATTCAAAGTTTTCTTGTGAGCTGATGTGACCATGCTGAATGTCGCATCATTCAGTCACTGTTATGAACCATGAGATGATGTAAAGGCTGCGATAATATTCTTTCAAATATTATGCCTCAGTAGTCAACCAAAGTATAGCTTTCGAACTGGTTAATGTGCCTTTTCTAAAGCCCTACTGGTAATTTTAGTGATTTCTGCTCTTCTAGAGCCACAGAATGGTGTCCCACTTTTTTTCCACAGGATGTCAAACAGGTGGATCAAGTATTGGTGCTATATTTGTCTTTATATAGGTTATCAACAACTTTATGGGCAAGGTATGGCCTTTGAACAAATTGAAGAATATTCAATATTCACCAATTAGCAGATTAGCATTCATTGGACCTGCAATTTCCATTTGCTTGAGATACCAAGTATGTAGATCTATAAGATGTGGATTGTGTACGTTGTATGAGATGTGATATAAAACAGTTGCGCTGCACGAGAGTGTGTTCGTCATGCGTGGTCGTTGATTACTGAACCGAATCTGATGGGAACTCGTGTTTTCTATTTTCGTGGTACAAAATGAAAATACCTACCCTAATGTTGATATAAATCCATTGACACTCCCTTCGGCATAAAGGGACACAATATCTCCGATGTGCAAGAAACTTGCAGACATCTTGACACTAAAACCGTACCACATCCACTCAAAAACTTAGAACATAATCACATCCATCGGTGAGCAGAAAGTGAAGTCTGCTACGCTAGTTCCGTATCCCTGTTGAGAGAGGTCACTTGAGTCCGTCGCATCGTGTGTTGTGGCCTAAACTCGCTATGAATCTGTCTCCCGATTTCATATGTCGATTATGCTATCCGGTTCTTTCAAACGGCACCCCGAACGTGGCCAAACGGAACTTCCAACTTATCAAAACATCGTATCTTCCTCAACACACCTGTCAACCATGACACAACTGGAAGATACGCCAATTCCGTGATTCTTCGGTAACTCTCGGTAGTTTCCGATCTCTATCGACCGAGCACGCTCCGGTGTTTAATGATAACATTCCTTGTACCACCTCTCCGCCCAGCGAACATTCAAGGGGAGGTATCAAAATACTTAAATAACGTTTTCTAAGTTTTGTACGTTTGGTGTCTGAGGGTGAAACCAGTGTAAAATTAAGGCTTTTCCTCTTAACTGAAATAGTTTTATACCCACATTCTAATTAATGCCAATCACAGAAGTTTAATACCCGTTTGTGCTATGGCATATTTTGTTTGTAAATAATGAATATATGTTTTCAAAAAACTCACTTGGACTTTGTACTTAAAATGTGTATTAACACAGACTTTGTCTCGTCGCTATATGGCTGGAATAATGCCGATGTGACGTAAAACTCAGCTCAAGTCAACCATTATTTATTTTCACCAGTTTTCAATCTTCTTGAAAAGAAAGCAAATTATTGATTATGTATGCATACCTTATATTTTCAACTAGGATTATAGATGCTTCTTTCCAACAATTCAAACATTCCACATGCTTATTCATTTTTAAAGAAAACATTCTTTTTATTACCGGGTAATACTTAAATCAGAGTGTGTCATATGCCTGTTATTTCAATACAGGTTACACGTGCATGTTTCCGATAGTTTGAGATGGTCCCTAATATTCAAATCTCATATTTGACTTCAGCTTCGGTTACGATTTACTTTCTATGGCGATATGGTGTAAATCCATTGTGTTCTGCGTGGTCCACGTCCGCCTATTGTCAAGTGTGTGCCGAGTGTTAAACTGGCTAGCGCGTCGCTACAAAGGCGAGCGATGTAATGTTATATAATAAATGATTCTTTATTGATTATCGACAAATCAATTTGGATGTAATATGATGTGTGCATCAGTTCTTATTGATCATCGACTGTTACATTGTTTCATATCCGGCTGTCCTTTGGCAGTGGTTCACGATACGTGCTGATAATGACCGACAGGTGCCCCAGGTGACAAGACAACAGGAACATGGACCTGACATTTGATGTGCGTATAAAAATACATATTCAGTTACAATCTTGTCCCTTGGCGAACCAGTTTGAATATCATTATGTAGTGTTCTTTTATCGGTGGAAGCCGAGCATTGTAATAAAACGTGGGTCTTGATACAAACACTGAGACAATATTGATTCATGTCAGTCACAGTGATGAATAAGGGGAAGCGTCAGTGATGGCAATTATATTAATTGTCATATATGTGATTTCTGTGCAGCTGACACGGGGGTTCTATAGTAGCTACAGTTATTGACAGCTGGTTCCTTTGACAGCCACACTGCATGACGCTCTGTTGAACTTCCCTGTGCATACATTCAGTCCAATCAATTGTTAAAACCAATAAGCAGTTGTACAATCAAACCACAATGCAAACTAAACCGCAGTTAAATCGTTAACGGTTTGAGCAATAAAATAGTTGTGTTGTTGTTGATAAAAAAAATGTACATTTTTTAAAATATGTTTTCAAAATTGTCCGCAATCCACTATGTATAATTGCGTCCCTTAACCGTGCCAGGATCCGCTGAGGGAGATTGTTGGTTCCAATCCCTCAGTCCTTGGTCTGTCAGCAACGTACTTGTGCTTTTTGGGTGAATGTCTACTGGGCTGTGAATTTGGCTGATAAAGGAGTTATACCCTATATAAATCTCGTAGATCGATGTTCATGCTGTTGATCACTGGATTGTCTGGTCTGGGCTCGATTATTTACAAACCGCCGCCATATAACTGGAATATTACTGAGTGCGACGTAAAACAACAACCAACCATCCTTGTGTTATCGTCTTGTTTCTCAATGTGTTCTTATCATCTTTCCTATTGTGTTCCCCACTCTTTCTCGTTGTGTTCTCACCCCGTTTCTTATTGTGTACATAAGCTGTTTCTCAATGTGATCTCGTCCTGTTTCTCAATGTCTTCGTGTCCTGTTTCTCAGCGTGTTTGCCAGCGGTCTCGTCCCCATTTCCTGATATAGTTCATCGTTTTTCTGTTGCATGTTTCCTCTCTGTCGTCTGTGCTTTTATCATCTGTTTGTCATTGTGAATCTGTACAGTTTCTCAGAGTGTGTATAACCACTTGGTCCGTACACTCAAAGGAACCCATTCAGCCGTTGTCAAACGACCAGAGGTTGGGAACACAGATACGTACATACACACAACACACGAGTATGAAAACGTACGGTGTTACCCTGGGCATGTGACTTAGTTTATGTAAGCGTCTGTTCGCCCAGTAGGGGACGGGTTCTGATATGTGAGATGGATGTTGTGAGAAGTCTTCTGGCGCCTGGTGGCAGTACGGGTTGTATACTCCCAAGGGCGTTGAGACTGATAACTTGAGCGCACACAGATCACTGATCAGCGGGCAAATATAGATGGCTGTGAGCAGAAATGTCTGAGTGATTGAGTGAGTTTAGTTTTACGCCGCTTTTAACAATATTCCAGCAGTATCACGGCGGGGACACCAGAAATGGGCTTCACATATTGTGCCCATGTGGGGAATCGAACCCGGGTCCTCGGCGTGATGAGCGAACGAATTAACGACTAGGCTACCCCACCGCCCCCAGAAATGTGTGAATAAATGTAGTAGGTGAGTGTAAGTAAAACGGATATACGTTCATTCCTTTAGGGATTGCACGTTTGTTAGGTTGCATGTACATCCACTCACAGTTACAGGGCGACTGTAAGCTCCACTGTCCTGTGTCACGACGTGCTTGTATAGAAACTATACAATGTGCAAAATGCGACATTTTCTCTCGAACGCTAACCATTAACTGATACATAAGGTCGCATTGTACCCGTCCTCGATAATCTCCTTTAGTAGATAGTTATCGGAACGTATACCCTGGAGATTATCGAGGATGGGTTGCACCCGTCAAGGCGACTTGCTTATAATCTGGGCCTAGATTTTCGAAGCTGTCTTAGCGCTAAGATAGTCGTAAGTTAATGTATGGCACCTACGACTATCTTAGCGCTAAGAGAGCTTCGAAAATCTGGTATGTTATTGTGTATTTTACGAGCGCTTCATACAATAACACTGACTCCGGTGAAGCGTCACACATCCCTGTTGGTGGGATGGGTTGATGAGGAGGCCTTTCGAAAGATGTGATGGTCGTCATATGTCACATGGCCGACCCCTCTGGGACAAAGCGGGGTTGTTGGCGATGTTGGTGTCGCTGAATTTTGCCATGTGTCTTCACCCCCCCGCCATTACCATGTGTCTTGTACAGGCGCTGTGCACGATTGGATGAAAAAAGCACAGCTGCTCGGTAGACAGTGGGGTAGCCTAGAGGTTAAAGCCCTCGCTATGTAATTTGATTGAACGGGTTCGATTCCCCCTGTGTACAATGTGTAAGTCGAGTTTTTCCCAGCTGTGATATTTCTGAAATATTCTAACCGCGGCGTTAAACAATGTTGGTTCACTTTCGATGTTGCCTGGTCCAGTTTGATGGGAACATACATGTATGTGTGTTCACGGCAAGTGCCCCTGTTATGCTGTGCAAACAGCCAGCTATCTAAAGCTAATTCCTCATCCTGCTTGTTATTCCGTCGTTGACCCTCAGCGCTCCCCAAGACGGTGTTTATCTCCTCCTGCTGCTGTTGCTGCTGCTACATCCTGGTGAGAAGCATCTGTTGTCGGGTCAGCGTCTTCGCCGTCATCGTCTGCAACCTCTCCCGGTGCCTCGACGGAGAAGCAACGTGCTCCAGGTATTTACCATTAGCAAGGACACCTCTCTTGGGGCATTCCGTGAAGACCAAACACAATATAGTGTGATGTTTCAGGATGCTTCCCATCTACCGGGTTATTGTACAGTTACCTTGGTATTCAAGAGTACTCGTGTTATCATGACTGGCATTCCTTAATACCGTTATTCCAAATGAGATATAGCCAGCGTCCTATATCCCCAGTCTGTCTACCTTCATACCATCTTTACATTGCCCAAACACCTAAATTACCTATTACGTTCCTATTTACCTTGTTCTGTGTGTGCAACACACCTTCCTCTGTACGTTACTATACATTCCCAACTGCCTTCTTATATATTTGCTTAGTGGTAAAATTCGTCACACGGAATTACCCGGGTTCGATTCCCCACTTGGGTACAGTGGGTGAAGCCCATTTCTGGTGTCTCCCGCCGTGATATTGCTGGAATATTGCTAAAACCGGCGTAAAACCATACTCACCCACTCTCACCTATTTCTTTTTACATTCTATTGTATTCCCACGAATACTTCCATAGATGGATTCCTCTTTATATTCATCCATATTCCCCAATACATTTCACTGATACAGTTCTCATATGTGACCCTGTGTATTCCGATAAGAAACAAAAAACAACAAAAAAAAAAAAAAAAAAACAAAAAAAAACACAAACAAAATGCACCCCCACCCCCACCCCCGAATAAAAATATAGATAAAAAATGATATAGTTCTCATATGTGTCCCTGCGTATTCGACTAAGAAACAAAAAACAACAACTAAATAAAACAAAACACAAAAAACAAAACACAAACAAAATGCAACCCCCCCAAAAAAACAAAAACAAATACAATAACAACAAAAAACCAAAACAAAAACCCCAAAAGACTAAATAAGATATGATGTCATAATACTATTCATCTCACTGCAGTGATCAAACTTCAAACTGGTCTTCATGTGATGTTAGATATACATGTTATGAGGTGCCCAAGGAAAGATTTAGTCCATCTTGTTATGCATAAGAAAAGGCTCACTGACTTAGTTGACACATGTCATCGTATCCAAGTTGCGTAGATCGATGCTCATGCTGTTGATCACTGGAATGTCCGGTCCGGACTCGATTATTTCCAGACCACCGCCATATAGCTGGAATACTGCTAAAAGCGGCGTAAAACTAAACTCACTCACTTCCCATATAATATCTACAAACACTGTCTCGCAAAATATTCCCCATTATATTCCTATATCTCTAACCCATGTTACATATACTCAGAAGCAAATATTATTGTGTCATGGAAAGTTTTCTTGGTAATCTTGAGAATGAATTTTTGGATTTGTACCAGAGAAAGAGTGTTTAAATGGTCGAAGAGAATCCCCCAAACACTTGTAATTTGAATAGCACGAATTGTACAAGAAGCAGGACATATTCGGGACAAATGACCATCAATGTTCAGTTTGAAAAGTCACACAACCAGACGCATGTCATTTTTATTCAGTGCAATTTTCGGACCTCTGGAACCTCGCAGTGTGACGTTTCTCGTCGACTCAACGTCCACACCAAACACCATTCGGCACTTCTGGCGACGTGTTCAAGTTACAGACCGTCACCGTAGTGGTCACCCACCAGTAACGACCCTACGTGAAGGCCGATAGATTCGAACTACACACCTGCGACACAGGTTCCAGCCGGTAACCCTTACAGTCCGTACCATACCTGGCAACACTGGTGTGTTTACGAGAACAGTTCGACGACGTCAGCGCGCCTACGGTATCCGCGCAAGACGCCCAGTCCAACGGCCAATTCTGACGCCAAAACATCGACGCCGGAAGCACTTGCGACAATCAGCACATAAAAAGAGTTCGCTTCCTCGATGAGGGACGTTTTCTTCTTCACTGAGCTGAGGACAGGACGCATGTCTACAGTTATAAAGTTGACGTTTTATATCCGTAGTGAGTATTACCCCTGACTTTTCAAACATCCATTCACTCGACGAATGGCCATTTGAGGATGTCAGTTACACTCCTCCTGCAGCGCCGGGCCAAGTTCATCCAAAGTTATGGTGTTAGAGACGAGTATTGATGAATCGTGTCATTCAGCACGGGCTATGTCGTCCAAAACGTCGACCCGAACCCCTCTTCCAACCCGACAACAAGAGTCTCAGTATGATGTCATGATTATGTAACACATGTTATATTTAAGATTACTCTTTCTCAGACTCTAGTACAGACACTAGTTCTTTAGTTGGGTTACGTCACATCCGGTACTAGAATCTAAACTTTGCTGAGAACGTGTAATCCCAAATATAACATGTGTTACAAGTCTCTATCCTGTTGTGGATTTAGTTTCGGCAAAGGTTCTAGTTAATCTAATCGATCAAGTGAAATCATTGGATCAAGGCTTATAGTTCTATCTAATAGTTCTAGTTCAGTTACTGGTTGGTTACAGTTCAGATAACTGTAACGTATCCTTGTAAAGACCGGAATAGAAATGGTCTTCACCAACTCGTGCTTGTCATGAGAAGCGACTTTAATATCCAGTGGTCAGGTTCGTTGACTGGGCTGATGCCTATCATCCTATCCCTTCATGGGCTGACGCTCATGATGTCAATCACTGGATTGCCTGGCCCAGACTCCATCATTTACAAACCGTGGAAGGAACACAGCAACAAACAGTCCAACCTGACTGTATATAACAGTGCCACTGATGTGACGGCCGATGCCATGTGTTGACTCTCACGACTGTGGTACTTAGGTTGTAATTCGAACCTGTTCAGTGATAAGACGACCTAGGTTGTGGAGCTCGTGTACAAGACAAACTCCGCCCGGCTCAGCATGACCAACGCTGTGGTGTGGACACTGGTCAGCTATATCGTGGGTGTGGCCTGGGGTCAGGTAGGATGCCCAAATAGTTTATATACACCGGCAGGGATATATCCATGTGTGTAACGATATGTCGTATATACACTGATCAGTACGGACTATCAGTCCTACTTCCCACCGAGGCTGGACTTGTCAAGAAACAAGTACACAACCTCCCATACTGTCGGAGTACTGCTCCTAGAGTACACACACATCATACCTTCCCCATCTGTCGGTGTAAGTGTTTACACAAACTAGTACGTTATCATGTTTACACCAATGGGTATGTTATCATGTTTACACCAATTGGTATGTTATCATGTTTACACCAATGGGTATGTTATCATGTTTACACCAATTGGTATGTTATCATGTTTACACCAATTGGTGTGATATCATGTTTACACCAATTGGTGTGATATCATGTTTACACCAATTGGTGTGATATCATGTTTACACCAATTGGTGTGATATCATGTTTACACCAATTGATCCTGTAACCTGGATCCGATGCCATGGGTGGATCTCTACCTTTCCTAACCTATATGGTTAACAGGTCCTTGTCAGAGTCGTGCGTACCACTGCCCATGAAAGAAGCACCTGTCACGCCTCTTTTGAAGAAACCCTAATCTAGACCATGGTATCCTGAAACACTATCGTCCTGTGTTAAACCTGTTCCAATTGACGGTGAAGTTGTTGCTCTACGTGTAAAGGAGCACATGACATCCCACAACTGCTATGAACCCTTTCAATCTGCCTATCGGTCTGGACACAGCACTGAAACAGCCTTGAGTAAAGTGCTAAATGACCTGCTCAAATCTGTTGACAGTGGAGGATCAGCAATTCTCATTCTTTTATACCATTCAGCTGCTTTCGACACCATAGACCATCATGTCCTGTTCTAGAGAACAGAATCGGTGTCACAGGAGCTGCACTTGAGTGGATCAGGTCATACATGTCAGGTAGATAGCAGTCAGTGTGTATCGACGGCCAGCTGTCAGAAAAGATTGATCTCTCATTCGATGCACCCCAGGGATCTGTTTTAGGCCCTGTGTTATTCACCGTATATACAATCCCTCTAGGTGACATTGCAAGAAAGCAAAACCTACCATATCATCTGTACGCTGATGACACGCAGATATACATTGCCTTTAAGCCTCTCCAAACACAGTCCGTTAAAGTATCGTTCCGGAAAGTCCAGGAATGTGTTGAACAAATGAGAGTGAGTGAGTGAGTGAGTTTGGTTTTACGCCGCTTTTAGCAATATTCCAGCAATATCACGACGGGGGACACCAGAGATGGGCTTAACACATTGTACCCATGTGGGGAATCGAACCCGGGTCTTCAGCGTGACGAGCGAACGCTTTAACCATTAGGCTACCCTACCGCCCCAGATCAAATGAGAAGTTGGATGACATGTAACTACCTCAAAATGAATGAAGACTAAACAGAACTGTTGATTCTCTGTCCTAAACATCTTCGACCTAGAGTCTCACTGCCACAAGTCAAATTTGGCGATTGTGAGATCACACCAAGCTCTGAAGTACGAAACCTCGGAGTAAATTTTGACAGTCAGGTCAATTTTGAGTCACATGCCAACCTCATCTCCAAGCGAGCCTACCATCACATCCGCAACCTTGGACTTATCAGGTGGTATATCAACGACACAGCGGCATCACTGACACAGGCACTGGTAACATCACGCCCCGCCCTCCACTACTGTAATTCTCTTCTCTTTGGAATAGCAAATTAACAACTGAAGAAACTACAAAATGTCCAGACCACTGCTGCCAGGGTTGTTAGCAAAACTAGGAAATATGGCCACATAACACCTGTCCTGCAACACCTCGACTAGGTACAATGAAGTGCCGTATTCAGTATAAGATATTGGTACTGGTGTTCAAGTGCCTGGGTCGATCAGCTCCGTCTTTCCTGTCCAGTCTTATTCCCAGATACCAGCCACGTCGCTCACTCAGATCCAAATAGGGGCTCCAGCTACAAGTACCGACATCACGCACAAAGACCTTTGGCGAAAGAGCCTTTGAATGTGCTGGACCATGCTTGTGGAATAAACTCCCAATCCATATCAAATCCAAGACCACTCTCACTGGGTTCAAATCAAAACTCAAGACACACTTTTTCAACTTAGCTCTTGATCAGTGAAATTCTTTTTTCTCAGACACATCAGCGCTTTTGAGCAGCACTTTTCCTGGATATCAGCGCTTTACACGTTTTAGTATAAACAGATAGATCATGTTTACACCAACTGGTATGACATCATGTGTACACCAATTGGTATGATATCATGTTTACACCAATTGGCATGATAACATGGTTACACCAACTGGTATGACATCATGTTTACACCAATTGGTATGATATCATGTTTACACCAATTGGCATGATATCATGTTTACACCGATTGGTACGACATCATGTTTACACCAACTGGTATGACATCATGTTTACACCAATTGGTATGATATCATGTTTACACCAACTGGTATGATGTCATGTTTACACAAACTTGTATGTTGTGATGTTTACATCAATTGGTATATCATCATGTTTACATCAATTGGTATATTTTCATGTTTACATCAATTGGTATATTATCATGTTTACATCAGTAGGTATATTATCATGTTTACATCAATTGGTATATTATCATGTTTGCATCAATTGGTATCTTATCATGCTTACATCAATTGGTATATTATCAAGTTTACATCAATCGGTATATATCATGTTTACATCAATTGGTATATTATTATGTTTACATTAATTGGTATATTATCATGTTTACACCAATTGGTATGATATCATGTTTACACCAACTGGTATGATATCATGTTTACACACTAAACGCCGGTCATGGAGGAAATATGTGTCCAAAATCAACTCCCGCACACCCATGTCCAAGGTGTGGAACATGATTCAAAAGATCAAGGGCAAAGGGTCAAAATCAGGAGTTCACCACCTGAAAGATGGTGACTCCCTTCTAACAAATAAATCTGAAATTGCAAACAAACTCGGCGAAACTTTGGCAAACCACTCCTCCTCATCAAATTATAACCCTCAGTTCCAGAAATATCAAACCCAACAGGAAAAGAAACCAGTCAATTTTAACTCTGATAATGGGGAGGATTACAACGAAACGTTTTCCCTCCATGAATTACGTACTGCCCTAGGACAAGCTCACGATACTGCGGCAGGAGCTTATGAAATCCATTATCAGCTTCTGAAACACCTCCCTGACACAGGCCTGGAAACACTCCTAAATATATTTGATGACATCTGGACATCCGGACACTTTCCCCCCTTCATGGCACAATGCCATTATCATCCCTATACCAAAACCCGGTCGCGATCATACTGATCCCTCAAACTACCGTCCTATATCACTAACTAGCTGCGTTTGCAAAACCATGGAGCGCATGGTCAACAATCGATTAATCTGGTACCTGGAGACCAATAACCTCCTCAGTGACCTCCAATGTGGTTTCCGAAAAAACCGAAGTACCATTGACCATCTGGTGCGTCTGGAATCATTTATCAAAAACTCCATTGTCAACAAACAACATGCAGTATCTATCTTTTTCGACTTAGAAAAAGCATATGATACAACATGGAAACATGGTATCCTAAAAGATTTACACGAGTTTGGATTGAGGGGTAGATTACCTCAATTCATATCTCGGTTTTTAAATAACAGACAATTTCAAGTTCGGGTGGGTTCCACACTGTCTGACTATTTCCACCAAGATCAGGGCGTCCCCCCAAGGCAGCATCCTGTCTGTCACACTTTTTAGCATCAAAATTAACAGCCTCACTAACGTCCTGAACAGTTGCGTTGATGGGTCCCTTTTCGTGGATGACTTCAATATCTCATGTCGTGGTAAGAACATGCATGCAATAGAAAGGCAGCTACAACTCTGCCTTAACAAAATCCAAAAATGGGCCAATGAAAATGGTTTTAAGTTTTCAAAATCCAAAACAAATTGTATTCACTTTTGTCGTAAATACAAACCACACAAGGATCCAGACCTAACTTTAGATGGTACTCCCATCAAGGTAGTAGAAGAGGCCAAAATTCCTTGGACTCATATTCGACCGCCACCTGACATTCTTACCACACATAAAATATTTGAAAACAAAGTGCTCGAAGGCTCTAGACTTGCTAAAAGTAGTTTCAAATACAGAGTGGGGAGGGGATCAGACCACCCTCCTTCACTTGTACAGATCATTAGTTCGCAGTAAACTAGATTATGGCTCCATTGTCTACGGTGGAGCCTGCAAAAGCAATTTAGAAAAATTAGACTCTATCCACCACCAAGGACTGAGGCTCTGCCTGGGAGCTTTTAGGACCTCTCCGGTAGACAGTCTATATGCAGAGGCCAATGAACCTTCCCTTGAACAACGCCGCATTAAACTCTCACTGCAGTATATCACTAAATTACGTTCAAATGAGTCCAATCCAGCATACAATTGTGTTTTCAACCCGCTCTATGAAAACTTATTTCCTAAACTGCCAAGCCTGGTTTCACCACTTGGAATCAGGATCAAACCACACATAACTGCAGCTAAAATTGATCTCGACATCATTGCACCATACCGACTTCTATCCTCACCACCATGGCAAATGGTGAAACCACAGGTCGATCTCACCCTCACCAAACTCAAAAAGTCTGAAACAAATCCCTTGGTGTTCCAACAGGAATACAACCAGTTACGTTCTAAGTATAACACTCACAGATCCATTTTCACAGACGGATCCAAGGACGATGGCCAAGTTGCCAGCGCTACAGTCATTGGAGCCAAGACTGTCTCCTCTAGGATCCCCGACAACAGTTCCATTTTCACCGCTGAAGCCAAAGCTATCTTCTCAGCTTTGACCTACATTCAACAGCAAAATCAGTCCAAAAACTTCATCGTATTTACAGATTCATTATCCTGCCTTCAAGCACTTCTAAAGGTAACACTAAGGCCGATGCTGCAGCAAAAGCAGCTCTCGAAAAGCCCCTATCTCCACTGCTAATCCCATACAGTGACTTCAAACCCACTATCAAAAGCTATACTCGGGACCTGATGCAAAAAAGGTGGGACACTCAAGTAGGAAGAAACAAACTCCATGAATTGAAGCCAACAATCGGTTATACCTACTTGGGTTGTCAGTCAAGACGCGATGAGGTAATTTTACGACGATGTCGTATTGGCCACAGTCGATTTACACATGACTATCTGCTGAAAACGGATGGGGATGGACCCCCCATGTGTGTCTCTTGCGATGAGGTGTTCACCGTCAAGCATATTCTGCTTGAATGCGTGGACTTATCGCCTGCAAGGGACTCACATTATGATGCAACAAACCTAAAAGATCTGTTCTCACGCGTGAGCGCCTATCTGATACTGAACTACCTGAGGGAAGTTGATCTGTATCATAAATTGTAACTGTGAAATGTAACAACCATAAATTGTAACTATGAAATGTAACAAACCGCCTGCCTTTAAATTTGATGCTATGACTTTTTCTGCTTTTGAATGACAATGTAATCAATAAATGTCTTTGAAATAAAACTCATTCCGAGTATGTACTTACAATATTTACTAATGCAAACTTGTTCTCGTCACTATATGGCTGGAAAAATGCCGATGTGACGTAAAGCTCAACTCAACTCAACTCAACTCATGTTTACACAAGCTGGTATGTTATCATGTTTACACCAACTGGTGTGTTATCATGTTTACACCAACTGGTGTGTTATCATGTTTACACATACCGGTGTGTATGTTATCCGGTTATGTTTTCAGATAGTTGGTGACATCCGCCTCGTAGGACAGAGTTCCAGGAACAGAGGGAATTTGGAAATCTTCGTTAGGGGGTAAGTGTCTAAGGTATAGATAGCACGAATAGTTTCTGGAGACGTGACAACCTTCATCGGGTACAGTATATTTTCTTGAGAAGTGACAACCTTCATTAGATAGAGTATAGTTTCTAGAGATGTGACAACCTTCGCTAGATTCAGTATAGTTTCTAGAGATGTGACAACCGTCATTATATATTTTCTAGAGAAGTGACAACCTTCATTAGATAGAGTATAGTTTCTAGAGATGTGACAACCTTCGCTAGATTCAGTATAGTTTCTAGAGATGTGACAACCGTCATTATATATTTTCTAGAGATGTGACAACCTTCATTAAATATTTTCTAGAGATGTGACAACCTTCATTAAATATTTTCTAGAGATGTGACAACCGTCATTATATATTTTCTAGAGAAGTGACAACCTTCATTAGATAGAGTATTTTTCTAGAGATGTGACAACCTTCGCTAGATTCAGTATAGTTTCTAGAGATGTGACAACCTTCATTATATATTTTCTAGGGATGTGACAACCTTCATTAAATATTTTCTAGAGATGTGACAACCTTCATTAGATAGAGTATATTTTCTAGAGATGTGAGAGTGAGTGAGTGAGTTTAGTTTTACGCCCCACTCAGCAATATTCCAGCTGTATGGCGGCGGTCTGTAAATGATCGACTCTGGACCAGACAATCCAGTGATCAACAGCATGAACATCGATCTGCGCAATTGGGAACCGATGACATGTGTCAACCAAGTCAGCGAGCCTGACCATCCGATGCCGTTAGTCGCCTCTTACGACAAGCATAGTCGCCTTTTGTTGCAAGCATGGGTTGCTGAAGACCTATTCTATCCCGGATCTTCACGGGTCGTAGAGATGTGAGAACCTTCATTAGATAGAGTATAGGTTCCAGGGAAGGAACAACTTTCATTAGATAGTGTATAGTTTCTAGGGAAAGAACAACCTTCATTAGATAGAGTATAGTTTCTAGGGAAGGAACAACCTTCATTAGATAGAGTATAGATTCTAGGGAAGGAACAACCTTCATTAGATAGAGTATAGTTTCTAGGGAAGGAACAACGTTCATTAGATAGAGTATAGTTTCTAGGGAAGGAACAACCTTCATTAGATAGAGTATAGGTCCTAGGGAAGGAACAACCTTCATTAGATAGAGTATAGGTTCCAGGGAAGGAACAACCTTCATTAGATAGAGTATAGTTTCTAGGGAAGGAACAACATTCATTAGATAGAGTATAGTTTCTAGGGAAGGAACAACCTTCATTAGATAGAGTATAGTTTGTACGGAAGGAACAACCTTCATTAGATAGTGTATAGTTTCTAGGGAAGGAACAACCTTCATTAGATAGAGTATAGGTTCCAGGGAAGGAACAACCTTCATTAGATAGAGTATAGGTTCCAGGGAAGGAACAACCATTATTAGATAGAGTATAGGTTCCAGGGAAGGAACAACCTTCATTAGATAGAGTATAGGTTCCAGGGAAGGAACAACCTTCATTAGATAGAGTATACGTCCTAGGGAAGGAACAACCTTCATTAGATAGAGTATAGGTTCCAGGGAAGGAACAACCTTCATTAGATAGAGTATAGTTTCTAGGGAAGGAACAACCTTCATTAGATAGAGTATAGGTTCCAGGGAAGGAACAACCTTCATTAGATAGAGTATAGTTTCTAGGGAAGGAACAACCTTCATTAGATAGAGTATAGGTCCTAGGGAAGGAACAACCTTCATTAGATAGAGTATAGGTTCCAGGGAAGGAACAACCTTCATTAGATAGTGTATAGTTTCTAGGGAAGGAACAACCTTCATTAGATAGAGTATAGGTTCCAGGGAAGGAACAACCTTCATTAGATAGAGTATAGATTCCAGGGAAGGAACAACCTTCATTAGATAGAGTATAGGTTCCAGGGAAGGAACAACCTTCATTAGATAGAGTATAGGTTCCAGGGAAGGAACAACCTTTATTGGATAGAGTATAGGTTCCAGGGAAGGAACAACCTTCATTAGATAGAGTATAGTTTGTACGGATGGAACAATCTTCATTAGATAGAGTATAGTTTCTAGGGAAGGAACAACCTTCATTAGATAGAGTATAGTTTTTAGGGAAGGAACAACCTTCATTAGATAGTGTATAGTTTTTAGGGAAGGAATAACCTTCATTAGATAGAGTATAGTTTCTAGGGAAGGAACAACCTTCATTAGATAGAGTATAGTTTCTAGGGAAGGAACAACCTTCATTAGATAGAGTATAGTTTCTAGGGAAGGAACAACCTTCATTAGATAGAGTATAGTTTCTAGGGAAGGAACAACCTTCATTAGATAGAGTATAGTTTCTAGGAAGGAACAACCTTCATTAGATAGAGTATAGTTTCTAGGAAGGAACAACCTTCATTAGATAGAGTATAGTTTCTAGGAAGGAACAACCTTCATTAGATAGAGTATAGTTTCTAGGAAGGAACAACCTTCATTAGATAGAGTATAGTTTCTAGGAAGGAACAACCTTCATTAGATAGAGTATAGTTTCTAGGGAAGGAACAACCTTCATTAGATAGAGTATAGGTTCTAGGAAGGAACAACCTTCATTAGATAGAGTATAGGTTCTAGGAAGGAACAACCTTCATTAGATAGAGTATAGTTTCTAGGGAAGGAACAACCTTCATTAGATAGAGTATAGGTTCCAGGGAAGGAACAACCTTCATTAGATAGAGTATAGTTTCTAGGGAAGGAACAACCTTCATTAGATAGAGTATAGGTTCCAGGGAAGGAACAACCTTCATTAGATAGAGTATAGGTTCAGGAAGGAACAACCTTCATTAGATAGAGTATAGGTTCCAGGGAAGGAACAACCTTCATTAGATAGAGTATAGGTTCCAGGGAAGGAACAACCTTCATTAGATAGAGTATAGGTTCTAGGGAAGGAACAACCTTCATTAGATAGAGTATAGGTTCAGGGAAGGAACAACCTTCATTAGATAGAGTATAGGTTTTAGGAAGGAACAACCTTCATTAGATAGAGTATAGGTCCTAGGGAAGGAACAACCTTCATTAGATAGAGTATAGGTTCTAGGGAAGGAACAACCTTCATTAGATAGAGTATAGTTTGTAGGGAAGGAACAACCTTCATTAGATAGAGTATAGTTTCTAGGAAGGAACAACCTTCATTAGATAGAGTATAGTTTCTAGGAAGGAACAACCTTCATTAGATAGAGTATAGTTTCTAGGAAGGAACAACCTTCATTAGATAGAGTATAGTTTCTAGGGAAGGAACAACCTTCATTAGATAGAGTATAGTTTCTAGGAAGGAACAACCTTCATTAGATAGAGTATAGTTTCTAGGAAGGAACAACCTTCATTAGATAGAGTATAGTTTTCTAGGAAGGAACAACCTTCATTAGATAGAGTATAGTTTCTAGGGAAGGAACAACCTTCATTAGATAGAGTATAGTTTCTAGGGAAGGAACAACCTTCATTAGATAGAGTATAGGTTCCAGGGAAGGAACAACCTTCATTAGATAGAGTATAGTTTCTAGGGAAGGAACAACCTTCATTAGATAGAGTATAGTTTCTAGGGAAGGAACAACCTTCATTAGATAGAGTATAGGTTCTAGGGAAGGAACAACCTTCATTAGATAGAGTATAGTTTCTAGGGAAGGAACAACCTTCATTAGATAGAGTATAGGTTCCAGGGAAGGAACAACCTTCATTAGATAGAGTATAGGTTCCAGGGAAGGAACAACCTTCATTAGATAGAGTATAGGTTCCAGGGAAGGAACAACCTTCATTAGATAGAGTATAGGTTCCAGGGAAGGAACAACCTTCTTTAGAGTATAGGTTTAGGATGGGTGAAGGAAGGAACAACCGCTGTTGGATAGAGTATAGGTTCCAGGGAAGGAACAACCTTCATTAGATAGAGTATAGGTTCCAGGGAAGGAACAACGTTCATTAGATAGAGTATATGTCCTAGGGAAGGAACAACCTTCATTAGATAGAGTATAGGTTCCAGGGAAGGAACAACCTTCATTAGATAGAGTATAGTTTTTAGGGAAGGAACAACCTTCATTAGATAGAGTATAGGTCCTAGGGAAGGAACAACCTTCATTATATAGAGTATAGTTTCTAGGGAAGGAACAACCTTCATTAGATAGAGTATAGTTTGTACGGATGGAACAATCTTCATTAGATAGAGTATAGTTTCTAGGGAAGGAACAACCTTCATTAGATAGAGTATAGTTTTTAGGGAAGGAACAACCTTCATTAGATAGTGTATAGTTTTTAGGGAAGGAATAACCTTCATTAGATAGAGTATAGTTTCTAGGGAAGGAACAACCTTCATTAGATAGAGTATAGTTTCTAGGGAAGGAACAACCTTCATTAGATAGAGTATAGTTTCTAGGGAAGGAACAACCTTCATTAGATAGAGTATAGTTTCTAGGGAAGGAACAACCTTCATTAGATAGAGTATAGTTTCTAGGGAAGGAACAACCTTCATTAGATAGAGTATAGTTTCTAGGGAAGGAACAACCTTCATTAGATAGAGTATAGTTTCTAGAGATGTGAGAACGTTCATTAGATAGAGTATAGTTTCTAGGGAAGGAACAACCTTCATTACTTCATTTGATAGAGTATAGTTTCTAGAGATGTGTCAGCCTTTATTAGATAGAGTATAGTTTCTAGGGAAGGAACAACCTTCATTAGATAAAGTATAGTTTCTGGAGTTATAATATTTATCAGCTGGACCATAGTCCCCAGAGGATAGATAATCGTATCGAGATAGACTACTAGATAAATGAAACCCTCTAGTAGCTAGATATACCTCTTGGGAGAGAACACGTCTGTAACACAGTAGATTGCTTGCCGTGACTATGCTCTCACAACATGGAACAGGGACTTGATTGAAACTGGCGGGAAGTCCTAACATGTAATTATCACGTGACAGATGGGGAGGCGTCTGTGACGACTTCTTCGACGAGAATGCTGCCATCGTTGCGTGTCGTCAGTTGGGGCTGCCCACGTCACATCCGTTATTCCTCATCAAGAGACCGGGCTCCACGGTGTTCAACCTGGATGATGTCAAGTGCACTGGCAACGAGACGAACCTGGGGGACTGCAAACACAGACTCTGGGGTTCATCAGACTGCGGAGATGACGAACACGTGGAGGTTGCATGTGCAGGTGAAATGGGACAGGGTTGATACATACAAAATAGGAAGTGCCCTAGAAATGAATAATGTGTATAACGTATATCATGTATAACGGTGTCTTTATCAGAGAGTCTGACATACTAGTTTAATAAGAGTCAATATATGTAGCAGATGCAGATTGTTGAAGGCACCAAATCAGACCATTTTCCCGTCGACCGGACGTAGAACAATAGGGGGACACGAGTGATCCAGTCGTCTAACGCGCCACAGTTTTCTATACAAACTTGCAGCCCTTAGGCTATGTGAATGCTTTAACTTCCGGCACGAGTTCGTGGCCTGTTTTGGAACGGTTGCTCTCCAAGTTGGCCACTGCAGGATTTTGAGGGAGACCATTGTTGTCCCGCATCCCGCTCAACTTCCCAGCGTAGACACCTGATTGGATAAAAAATCCAGCAAAGGGTGGTAATAAAATTATCGGGCGGAGCCGTAGATGCATCCAGGGTACTAGTGGACACGTAGACACTGCGAGAGGCAGATATATCCTTGTGCCCAGTTGAATGAATGCCCCGTAACTCGTGGGACTGATAATCACGGAACCCATCATAACGAACTTATATATAATCCTGAATATCACAACAACTGTATTATCAATTGCAATTCAGATAACCATGAACTCTCTTTTGAATCTCCTGAATCACTTGATGAAACTTATATCACCAAAGTACTTCACAACAATTCACAATTACCTATTTTTACACAACTTGATGTATGTGACACCGAATTGGTCCACGATAGATATACTAAAACCATAGCACTATATGATGTTAATACCAATTATCCTGCCAATCTTAACTTCATGTTATACATGTAACAGGTTCTAACATCCCAGATACATTTGTTGAATCCCCTTCCCCTGAAAGTACTCCTGGGAATTTTAACAAAGCAGATAAATTGTTACATCTATTAAGTCTAAATGTATGTGGACTACGAAATTGCTTAGACTGTCCAGAAAATGACATAATAGGTTTACAAGAAACCCAAACAAGTGAACTAGATGCGCTTAATATCCAGAATTACACATTATATCTACAGCATAGATCAAGATGTGTGAACAGATCAGGTGGGTTAGGCTTAGCTGTTAAAAATACATACGAGGATTTTATTAATGTTATGGATGACAATGATGCATATTCTATGTGGTTCAAAATATATAAAGATCTATTTAACATTAATAGTGATCTAGTTTTAGGTGTCATATACATACCACCTGAAGGTTCAAAATATTCCACCGAAAACTTCTTCACTGAACTTGAAAAAACAATGTATAATCACGCCAGTGAAACTGACTAATATCTATCTAATATTGTGTTAGGGGACTTCAACGCAAGGACAGGTAATTTGCAAGATTACTGTATATTTGATAAGCATATTATTGATGAATTTGTACTCGACATGGAGGAAATGAGAAATGAACTTGACACTGAACATGTGCTTACGAGTTTAGATTTGCCATTCGTAAGACACACTGAGGATACTGGTAGGGTTAATAATTACTGTAAATCTTTGTAAAAACTCTAATATGATAATATGTAACAGCCGTGTTGGAGACGAAGGACTCATAGGCAGGACGACGACGTGCAGGACGACGACGTGCAGGACAACGACGTGCAGAGACACAGGTGTTGTTGTGTGTATAGCTTCCCCGTCCTGTTTACACCTTTTCGAGAACTTCAGTATTGATGACTTCAACCCATTATTCTCAGACGTACATTGCCCTATAAAGTTTACGCTAAAAGTGGAACATTTTAATAACAGCATTCCAAACGACATTGCCGCTGACTCTGTAAATCCATGCGAATACACCGGTTACTCCTCTTCGGTGCAAGCACCTCGTAGATTCACGCCGGATAAAAGCGAGTTATTCCGTACACATATATACTAGCCACATAAAGAAACTGTGCATTGTCAAAATATTATCCCAGTTGATAAGTACGATAACAATGTCAAAGGTACATATATACTTTAATGGAGGGATCATGAGACCATAACAAGTCGGGAGAATTTCAATTGAAAAGTCAATCATAATGACGTCACGAGTCCACAGGCGGGACAGGGGTCAAACGACCATGTCACAAGCTCAATAATGGGTATGTCCACCATCGGCATTTAGAACAGCAGTGCATCGACGACGCATAGAGCCTATCAAACGTGCAAGGAAGGCTTGTGGGATGTCACGCCAGGTTCTCTCAAGTTCTGTTGCAAGGTCAAGCACGTTATCTGGCGGATGAGGAAGACGGCGTAGACGTCGATCCATCTCGTCCCAAACATGCTCTATCGGGGAGAGATCCGGTGAATTTGCAGGCCAAGGCTGTAAGTCAAAGTTGTGGTGTTGCAAGAAATCCATAGCAACCCGTGCCGTATGAGGGCGGGCATTGTCCTGCTTGAATGTTAACTCAGGGCCATGACGTTGTAGAAAAGGAATTGCCACAGGTCGAAGAATCTGATCCCTGTAGCCCACACCAGTTAAGTTGCCCTGAACAATCACCAAAGGAGTTCTTTGGCGTGCTGTTATTCCCACCCAATTCATCACGGAACCACCACCACCAAAGCGATTCCTCTCCAAGACACAGGTCTGTGCATAACGTTCTCCCACGCGTCTATAGGCACGTTGACGTCCATCACTATGTGAAATGTTAAACCTGGACTCATCTGTTAAAACAACATTTCTCCACCAAAACAAGGGTCTGCGGACATGATTTCGGCACCACATTCGGCGAGCTTGTCGATGACGTTGTGTCAGGATAGGCCGTATGGCGGGACGTCGTGGTCTGATCCCGTGATGACGTAAACGTTGTCGAACTGTGTTGGGTTGGATACGGCGAAGTCCTGGGATGGTTCGGGCAGTCATCACTGCAGTCTGAAACCTGTGGCGCAGATGGGTCACCCTTATCCATCTGTCCTGTCTTGGCGTTGTTACACGTGAACGTCCAGAACGTGGCCGATCGATGACGTTATTTGTGTCCTGGTAGCGTCTCACCAGTGCAGAAATGGTGTTCCGGTGGCAGTGGAAATGTGAAGCCACTTGTCGTTGAGACATTCCCCCACGGACCATCCCAATGGCTTCATGCCGTTGTGCAGACGTGAGCCTTGGCATGCTATGCGTTTCAATAGCCGTTTAATTTTTTGAACGATCGCAAGGGCGGGGCTTGAGCTTTCCAAAGTGACAGTATTGTGTGGCATTCATTTGCTCTGTTTGTCTTTCCCGGAATGCACGTGCAACAACGTATTGCACGTCTCAAGGACGAACCCACTGACGTCACGGAACGTGACACGTGCATGCATGTTGGATACATGTCACTAATCTCTGAGTTTAAATCCTTATGTGTCTACACAGGTTTGATAAATTTAGATTTTAATTTTTTGTATGCACAGTTTCTTTATGTGCCTAGTATACATAAAATAAACCAGATTTCAGAGGATATATCTTATTTATTAATGATATGTCAACAAAACAAAATGTAATTTAATTGAATGGACATCTTAGCACAAGTTATTTTGATCGTGTTATTTTATACTGTAATGGAAGAGGCAGCCTCTTTCAATGATAGTCAAAACAAACTAATTGAGTTCATATCAACTTTATTGATTTCAATCATGTGAGTGAAAACGGGGTGAGGTTATATCACCTATTTCGTTAGGTAGTTCAGAATTTAGTATAACCCAAAAAGTTAATCCCTTAAAACAATATGCATAGTCAGCTCCCAAACATCAGAGGATTTTTACTGAAATAACAAATGTCTTCTTCCCGGTAAGACACCGTGGCATGTAGGGGTAATGGGGGCTATACGCCATAAACAAAGAGCCCTGAGGGAATCGGCAAATGAACCAGCCAATGAAAGGCTTCGTTACACTTGAGTGCTCGCCCACTCGCTTTGACTGGGTTCGGTATCCCGGGTGCTTCGTTTCGAGGGTGGTACAAAATATTGCACTTATCATTTGCGATTGTACGCTTATAATTTTGATTATTTGTATTTTCAAAATCGGCAATGTATATTAAATATGTCATGAATAAATGATAATTGTGTTTTAATTATGTTTATTTTTTTGGTTCCATCTAAGCTTTAACCCTTTTACGAAAAAAGTGGGTGCACTATCACTGACAGCACAGAAAATAGTGGTTTTCAACTCACATCAAACATTTCTTTGCTTGATTCCTCCCCAGCTGACCCCTGCACGCCTGACCCGTGTCCAGATGGCGTGCCGTGTCGTCAGGTGATGGACAGCAGGTACACCTGTGTCTGTCCGCCAGGGTATACAGGCACCCAATGTCTGACAGGTGGGTTAACACTTCTTTAAAAGCGTTTAAAAGATGAACAATTCTGACATTAATGGTTGTGAATGTGGAAAACAGCCAGCACAAACGTGACAAGTGATAATGTGTTATTGCTGTCAGACGTAGACGAGTGTGTGGACGCCACCAACGGCTGCAGTCACATCTGCGTCAACACCCGAGGGTCCTACTACTGCCAGTGCCCATACGAACTTCAACTTGGAGCCGACAACCGCACATGCCATGGTAGGGTCGTTTATCTTGAAGTTTGGTATGTCCACTTCAAACATTGGCACCATTTCATACACTGCAAGTGATACTCGATACTTTGCAACCATTTCATGCACTGTGGCCTGTTCATACACTGCAGGAACATTGGGGGTAGCCTAGTGGTTAAAGCGTTCGCTCGTCACGCAGAAGACCCGGGTTCGATTCCCCACATGGGTACTATGCGTGAAACCCATTTCTGGTGTCTCCCGCCGTGATATTGCTGGAATATTGCTAAACGTGACGTAAATCTAAATTCACTCACTCATACATTGAGTATGGTTGCCCTGGTCCCGTGAAGATCCGGGGTAGAATAGGTCTTTAGCAACCCATGCTTGCCACAAAAGGCGACTATGCTTGTCGTAAGAGGCGACTAACGGCATCGGGTGGTCAGGCTTGCTGACTTGGTTGACACATGTCATCCTTTCCCAGTTGCGCAGACCGATGCTCATGCTGTTGATCACTGGATTGACCGCCGCCATATAACTGGAATATTGCTGAGTGGGGCGTAAAACTAAACTCACTCACTCACTCATGCATTGTGACCTGTTCATAACTGGATCACATCAAAAGACAAACAGACAGTCAGATTTTATTTGCTCAAGCCATAATTGGTCATTGTTTATATGTACAGTGATTTGTGATGGACAACCAAAATTAACTTTAGCCACAACTACTTATGCTCCACCGACTGTGACCTCTAAATACAATCTAATATACCGAACAGCGGTTACCAAGGAAACCCGTACCCTCGTGCAATGAAGCCATGTATTGTTTGTGATATATGCTTGTAGCCTGTGTTTGAACATGCACGTGTGTTTCCCCCAGGTGAAGGTGTGCAGGTGTCCTGCACGTCCCAGAACATGGTGGTGGAGTTGGACAAACAGCACCTCCACGGCCTCCATGGTCAATACTTGACGTTGAGGGACAAGACGTGTGCTGCCACGGAGACCTCCACCCACGTGTATGTTACAGTGCCTCTCCAGGGGTGTGGCACCCAGGTCACGGTGAGACATTTCTTGTCCTACTAATAATCATCACCATTACTTTCGTCTTGCGTTATCGTTATTGTAGTTATATTTACGTTATCATCATTGTCATGGTAGCAATCTGATGGTTCCATGGGAAAGGTCAGCTGTCATAATATTTTCAAGTTTTTTTCAAAGAAAGTATTGACAATATCATTTTAGGGAATAGTTGCCAACTCTGGACTGGTTATATATACTCAGCAGCAAAAGAAACGTCAGTACGAATTCAAAAATTAGATAGGGACTGTAATCAAATCATAACAGAAATGGACATAATAAGCGGATCAAAAACATTTTCTGTGTACAATATCTTGCCAGACCAATGAAAAACTCAATGAATTTCAAGACATTTCAGACCCTTGACTTCAGTATCTAGTGTGACCACCACGAGCGGCAATAACTGCAGCACAGCGTCTATGCATGGAGTGCACCAATCGATTGATGAAGGCCATTGACACCTGGAACCACACTCTGAGAAAGGCCTGGCGCAATAAATCGGCTGTGTTCGGCCTTGGTATGACATTATTCAGTCTCCTCTGAATTTCATCCCAAAGATGTTCAATTAGGTTAAAATCAGGACTAAGGGCTGGCCACTGCAAAATGTTGACACCGTTCTGCTGTAGGAAGTCCTGTGTAGCTCTGGCAGTATGGGCCCGGGCGTTACCATGCTGGAAAATGTTGTTCTGGTGACGTGCGAAATGTGGTATGACATGGGGACCGACAGCTTGGTCGATGTACCGCACCACTGTGATGCTGCCTCCTCTCCCTGGACCAAGGTTCTGGAACACCGCAGGACCCACTCTCTGGTTCAGGCCTATTCCACCCCATACCACGATGCTTGCACCTCCCCATGAGTCTCTTGGTATGAGTAACGATGGCCACGTCGTCGCCATATTCTTGTTCTGCCATCTGCAGTTGATACGCAGTACCGACTCTCATCTGTGAACAGAACAGTTCTCCACTGCCTGTATCGCCAGTTTTGGTGTTGTAGGGCAAACTGTAGACGTTCACGCCGAGGGATGAGGATAGGTCCACGGTATGGTCTACGGCAATGGAGGTTCCCGCTGTTAAGACGTCGGCGTACTGTATCAGTACTGATTGGTCTTCCGTGTGTTCCCACTGTCTGGCGTGCTGTTTCGGATGCCTGCATGAAGGGATTCTGTACATGCTGTCGCACAACATGGCGGTCTTGTCGTCTTGTGGTCACCTTTGGTCTGCCAGTACGGGGGCGATCATTTGTGGTGTCGGTGGCCCGGAAACGTTGCTGCAGGTCCGAACGTTGACCTTGTGAACAGCACGTGCAACATGAGTTGCATGAAAAAACATGGAGAACACCGTACCATCTCCGAGATCAGGTTGCTTTTTTTGAGACCATTTCCTAGGTTCCATTCTGAGTTTGGGAAGGAATGTCTTGGAGATGATATCAAACATATACAATCAAAACATTAAATGAGTTTACGGTATCCTCCCATTTGTCAGACGTGCCATTTGTCAGACAGGTTAAACCAACAAACTATCTGGTTGAGTGCACAGCTAATCCCCTGCCCGTTACCTCTTGATGAAATAGGAATGGCCAATAAAACAAATAACAGAAGTCAGAAATGTAAGAAATCAGGGAAGACTTTTTAATAATAACAATAAAAATAATGATCACATCCAGTACAAGTAAGCAAGTCAGTATGAAATCAGCCAGAACTGATTATATTAGAGTAGAGTTCAATATTGTCATCCCAGTTTCAATAGGTGTCCAACAGCATCCAGGAACTGAACAGATGTCTTCTGGCCACTTGTCAGCTTTTCTTTCAACCGGAGCAGTCTCCCCTCAGGTTTGGGTGCTGATGTAGGAGACTTCTGTTCACACGAGAAATCCCTCCAAATTGTTGTTTGTCCTCGGTCCAACCGTGTGGTGATGATTCCATAGGGGTAGAGGAAAACGGGCGTCATCGTCAACCCATGTCGTCACCATGTAGTCATTGAAGTCTTGGGACCTCTGCATTGTAGATAACCTGGACGGGTGTAGCTTCTTCTCTGGCCCGTTTCCGTAAACTGCTAACAAACTGGACTTGAGTCGGATCTCTAGGCGGATGGCAGCGGTCCGAGAAATCTTTCAGGAAGTCCCAAACAGTGGAACATTTACCTCGGCATGTCTTGATGGTACATCTCCAGTGTGTGGTCTGGCCTCTGGTTCTAATCTTAGAGTAGGTGAAGCCATCAAGAAATACTTGTGGGGTTCCTCTCTGAGACTCAATGCATTCAACTCTGCGTATACCAGCCATTACAGCAATATCTTACTGACTTTAGAGTTCATGTTATATAGTACACGTGAGATTATACTGATGTTTTGGAGGAGTTCAATCCATTTAAGTAATAAAATAATGCAACACAAATTCAGTTAAAACCTATTGATTAATCTTTACTGAGCCTCACGTACTTCCTGTATTCCATAAAAAAAAACAACTGGCGTTCAAAAGAAAGTACACAGGCAAAGATTTGGTCAAATAGCACAAAATTAACAACTTTTTAAAAGATAATTTCATGTGTTTATTGAGGCACATGGTCAAACAGAACTCCTCACAATAAAATGAAACTTTAAGCGTGAACATTATTGCCTTATGGTACTGTCAAACATGCACGGGGTCCAAATGACACATTTCATTATTGCAGATGAAAAGTTCAATGTTGATTACCAGACACCCAAATGTCACAAAAACAGGTATCACATTCAGTATCTTGTATGGCCTCCACGGGCATCAATGCAAGCCTGTACTCGTCTCCTCATGGAAAACGTAAGTCGCCTGATGACGTCATTTGGAATTCTTGCCCATTCCTCATGGAGAGCATTTTCAAGCTGTCGTACATTAACGGGCTGCTGTTGCCGAAGTCGGAGTTGTCTTCCGAGATGGTCCCATAGATGTTCAATCGGGTTGAGGTCAGGTGAACGAGCGGGCCATGGCAATACATCAATATTATGGTGTTGGAGAAAGTCTGTGGTGATCCTGGCTGTGTGGGGTCTAGCGTTATCATGCTGGAAAAGAATTCCATGATGTTGTCGCATGAAAGGCAGTACAACAGGTCGCAACACCTCATCACCGTATCGCTGGGCATTCAGATTGCCATGAATTGTCACTAAACGTGTCTTCTGATCACCACAAATTGCTCCCCAGACCATAACACCACCACCACCAAAGGGGTGAACATCTTGTATACAGTTTGGTGCCAACCGTTCTCCCCGACGCCGATACACCCTAATTCTACCGTCAGCATGAAACAGATTGAATCTGCTCTCATCACTGAAGAGGACACGTACCCAGTTACGACGTTGCCACCGATGCACAGTCCTTGTCCACTGTAAACGGTTCCTACGATGTAGAAGTGTCAAGGACATGCCACGGACAGGTCGATAGGCCCGGATACCAGCAGCACGGAGTCGCCTCATCACTGTGTACCTGCTGATGCGGTGACCTAATGCTGTCGCTGCTGATGACGTTGCAGTCAACGTTCGATTGTGTAAATGGATTATCCGCAGGTGCTGGTCATCTTGTGGTGTCGTGACTCTCGGACGTCCAGTTCGGGGTCGGTCAGCTGTCTGGCTTGTCTGTTGAACACGTCTGAACAGTCTGATTATGGTTTGTCTTGTTCACTGGAAGGTCCTTGCAATATGACTGTTGGACGCCCCCATCTGTGACATACCAATGGCTCTCTCTCTTTGCGCTGGTGTAAGTCTTGGCATTTTCTTCATGTGTTTATTGTCGTCTGCCATATCAGCATTGGGATGAGTGTCTTTTATACCCGTTTACAAGTTGATTGCATGTGCAAGAGGGAATAATCACAATTTCCACAAATTTCGTGTTGCACGTGCAGCCACACATATGGCTGCATTTTGAACATTTTACCCCTATAGTTGCGTTTGTGAGATCTATTTTCAGTGCAAATCTTGAAACGAGCTTCATGTATGGTGAAAAAAGTTTAGGTGTGTACTTTCTTTTGAACGTCAGTTTAGCTGAACAAACAACTCCAAATGTCGTTACTACAACACATGCAACCCGTCACACTGATCAAAAGCAACTTACAAACACAATCATAATCTGGTTAATCTGTATCACTCAACGAAGTTGAGAGCGGGGAGTAGCCTACTCTGTTCACAGTTTGGAGCAGCTCATTAATTAGTGGGTAAGTCCAGGCAGTTACACTGGTCACACTTAACTGGTCTGTCTCATGATTGGGCCGTCTGACAAATGGGAGTGAACCGAGTTTACAGTTATCCGTTTCTGCGAAGGAAAATTCCAAGCTGACGTTTCTTTTGCTGCTTAGTATATCTGTCCCCTGACTATACACCGTACTTCAGATAGGATTTGTAGGTGTGAAATGTCAAGATGAGGCCGATGATAGATAGATAGATATTCTTTATTTCCTCCAACTGAATGAAGATTACAATGTGTGGTGATAATATATTTTACATCAAATGATTAAGATAGGTTATTGATAGAGTCACAAATGTTCATATACATACAAGTGTTTTAGCAAGTATCGCCATTTCCTTATAAAATGGCTTACATTAATTATTACTTTTGCCCATACATCTCTTTCTAGTTCCATTATGCACGCAATTGGACATCCACCAAGTAAAAATGCAAGAATAACATCATCATCTTGATCCCAGATCTTAACAAAAGTTTCTACATCCAGAATATCACATATGGAGTTAAAAAGTTCATTTCTGTCATTCATATTTATCGTACATGACATAAACACGTGCTTTACAATATCATTGGCGACAGTTTTACATGAACATTCTCTTGAAACAATTTCAGCTGATCCATAGTATACAAGTCTTGCAATATCAATTAACTGGTCGTTCTTCTCTGCAGCTAGCATCCAGAGATAGTGTTCATTATTGGATCTTATATTGATATATCTTGACAGACTAAGTCTTGAATTAAGATGAACATAAAATAGATTTTCTCGATGAGATTTAGTAGCATCATTTACGGCATTGGACCAGC